ACCAGCTGATCGGCGGGTCGCAAAGCGAAGGTCGGTAAGCCAACCACTTACCGACCTTCGCTCTGTGAATTGTGCCCTATCTAGGTGCCGTTTTGCGATCGCTTTTGCGATCGCAAAAACGGCACCGTTGCGCGGATTCGTCGCTCTACGGAGTGACCGTTCTGCGAGGCACCACTGTACTAAGATGAATGAATGAAGACCAAAAAAATCATAAAATGTATGAAGCTGGAATGGTTTGCCCATGTAATGCGAAACAAAAAATTACAAATTGTTACAGCTGCTCAATCAAGGTAAAATAAACAAGAAAAGAAGTGCAGAAAGAAGGTGATGTTAACAGGCTGGAGAATCCTGGTCAATATAGTCATGATGACCTCCAACCTCCAGGAAGAGAGGAAAAAGAAAACGCTTTTGAATTCACGCCCATTCTTTCTCCACATTTTTGGATCACAGTTATTTGCTCATATATAAATAAACCCCAGAGATGCTTACATGTCTTGAGTGTGTGTGTGTGTGTGGGGGGGGATTTGCCCAACTTCTGGCTAATGTAACCAAATTTTAGAAAGTACTCCAACTTAAGCAGGCAATAACATAGTCTTATTTGAGGCTCTGTCTACTACTGGTCCTTTTTATTTGAGGCTATGTCTACTACTGGTCCTTTGCCTTTTTGATGTCTTTAGCTTATGATGAGACAAAGGGCTTTCCTCCCAGACATTTCACTGCTTAATGTAAATTACTGTGATCTGAAGGTGAAGTCATCCCAAAGGAAAGCTCAGTGACTACCACTGGCATTTGTCACAAACCTGGACTCTGTAAGTCAAGTTTGTTACTTGACCACTGCTTCTGGCTCCTGGCTTCTGATGCCATCCTTCTGTATGGAGCTTGGCATATTTGACCTTGAGCAAAAAAAGACAACCAAACACTTATTTTCCATTATAGAAAAAAAGTACAGTGGTGCCTCGCACAACGAGTGCCTCACACAACGATGAATTCACACAACGATGCCTTTTTCTGTTAAATTTGCTGCCTCACACAGCGATGTTTCCTATGGGGGATTTTCACACAACGATCTCCCTTTTCGCTCCTGTAAAAGTGTCTTACAATGTTTGGATGCTGTTTTAAATGATTGCAATGGTTAGTCCACCTCCTGAAACCT